GCCCATGCTCGTTGGTGAGCTAGAGCCATTTTTCAACTGACAGAGCTCAATATCAAGGCAAATCCGTCATGTTTTCAATATGCGCGTGCACAAGCGCGCACTAATGACGCCATAAATTATGCGCAGTAAGGATGCGCGATGCAAATGTGAGGAATGACCTTAATTTGCACTTCGTTTCTAACCAAACGTGATTCTTTCGCTAGAAATGCAAGCAGAACTTTTTTACAAGCCAGCAAACTTTTGAGCAGGTCCTTCTGCGCTAATAGCACCTTGTAAACGGGTTAGGGTTAGGTTAGGATCTGGACGACCCAAATAACGACCATGCACTAAAGAGAGTAAGAAAGTAAGCTGATAATAAGGTTTCCAGAAGAATTCGGAATCATTGTACGAAAATGTTTGGATATTGGCCAAGACGCTGCCCCGACGCTGTTCAGGCCCATAAAGACAGAAATAGAACAACAAGAACTAGAACAAAATCCAGTCAACTTGACCAAACCGGCTTAGTTAAAAAGGGATTCATTACCTGGCATAAAAAATACGGGCAAGGTAGAGCCATACTGCCCATTGTCGAAGCTAGCCATATAACAATGGCGCTTATTATCTCTGTCAGGGTTATGCTATTTTGTTTCTGTTGATAAACCAGCGAAAAATGTTATATCTACACGACAGTGACCAGCTCGAAAGCTCATTAGCTACTTTGGTCACTGTACACAATTAAATATTGTTACTTCTAGTTAATTTCTATCTGTATTTATTTTTCCTATATCATTGTAAACCATCTTTCGCTAAGTTGTTTTTCTGTAAATTGTGTGCGATAATAAAAACTGAACTGAAAACTAGCCTGACAATGGCTTATGTTTACTTTCAACCTAAACAGCTAAAAACCCTTATGCTGAAACCAAAATTTTTAATCATGTTCGTCCGTTCACGTTTCCGTTCGGTTTCTAGATGTGAAAGGAAAATAGAAGAATGACTTAACTATGCCATAATTAATAATTTAACTTTCCAACAGTCTTTTACTGTACAACTTTAACGTCTTATTGTTAATCAAAATGTGAATTCTCCTGACAACATTAGTACATTGATAAGCTGACAAGTAATAAGAATAAGGAAAATCATCAACTACAATAACGTCTTGACTAATCACCTAATTCTCACGACTGTTACAAGAAATGTATGAAGATCAATAGGGAGAATTGATATTTTGATATTGAGCTGGATATTAGGCCCGTAACCGAAACAACTAGACTGCTAGCAGACGGCCTTTTCGGTCGTTTATCCTGTCGAACGGGCCTGTCCAACGCATACTTGAAAATGGCTGTAACGACGAGGAAACTTTCGATCCGTACTCACTGGAGTTCCTGTTTATGGAGAGAGAAACGAACTGCAAGCAGTGAAGCCTCGAGCACCGCAAGTGAAACAGGAAATAGGACTGAAACAGGATCGTACCTAGAGGCATTGTTCGCAAGCTGTCCCTAGAGGTTGTGTACTTCTGCGTAAACAGTGACAGGATATTACGGAGAAATGAATATCATTTCAAAAATTGTTATTTTGAGCCGTTTTGACGGGAAGTTTAAAATTCAAGACAGTATTCAGTGGCGTCTTTTAGTATTGCAAAATGTCTTTTCATTTGCTTGTTATGTTCGGGTGACATATCATATTTCTTAGCGTCATCATTGTGACGGACCTGATCACGTGACAGCTTAAAGGGCTTTTTATGAAGAAGACTGGGATGAATTTCCATTCGGAACTGAACTTATTTACTTTTGGTAAAAAAAATAGCTATAACCAGGCGAAGACATATTTTTAAAGAAGTAGAAACGTGTTCTGGCTAAAACGATTTGTAAACATAAGCGATTAGTCCATAGTGTTTTACCAATAAAAAATGACACATTTTTTTATTCATGAAAGGCTGTGGACTGATAGCCGAAAGTTTTGAAAAAAATATTTATTGTGGTTGTCTTATGACTGCAGACGATAGCTGGTTAAACTTGACCGACCAGGATTTAGAAGACATGCTATCGAAATACAGCGATCCGAACTCAAGAGAAACTGGCGAGCTCGCGGGTGGAAATACAGCGAAAAGCAGTGTAAGTGCTTGCAAAAGTGCACGGTATACAGTAAAATTCCTTTCACCTTATCCCCCATCTCCCGTCGACGACATATTCAGTAGCGGATCTAGGGGAGGGACCCTGGGGGCCCGGACCCCCCCGCTATTTTTGGGTAAAAGAAAAAAAAAGTCACACAGGAAAGAAAAGCCGGCAGGATAATCAAAACAAAACTGCCTCCCCCTCCCCCCCCCGCCACTTAGCTCAAGGACTGGATCTGCCACTGACTGATATATGCCTATCGGCTCTAGGCTCGAAGTGGAGTGGGGAGACATAGACCGGACTCGAGAGAGCGGCAGAAATCGAGCTTCATCGGTTCGAGAGTAAAATTAGCGTTCCCGATGTAAGCCCCTCCCTTTGGTTATCGCTTTACACATCAACACCCCCCCCCCCCCCCCCCCCCCCCCCCCCCCCCCCCCCCCCCCCCCCCCCCCCCCCCCCCCCCCCCCC